CAAAAAGCTCTTTATTTTTCTCATACTGCCTGTGCTGCAGCACCTCTTTTCACCCTCTGTCTGAAACCAGAGCCCAGTCTGCTCTGATTGGTTAGCTGGCCTGCTCTGTTGTGATTGGTCAACTGCTTAGAGACGTCCCACCCCTTAGCCTATCACGTACAATGTGTTGGAGCGTTAGCCAATAGGAGAGCGAGTGTTACTGACACAGAGTAAACAAAGAAGTACAATCTTTGTCTCTGTTTGCATTCAGAAAAGATTGTTAATAAATGAAAGACACCTCACTCTCTAACGACATGTCCCCCGTCAGTTCAGGGATCAACAAGATTGGTCCTTTATCTAGAGAGTGATCAGCACACTATAATCATCATACATCACTATATGCGGTTTTCAGATATGAGCTCATGGAAAATGCTAATCTGACTGTTTTCCATACATTTGAATATTTAATATATATTTGTACACTGTGAACGCATGCATGTTTGTATACACACACTCCTGACAGTGTAGTACCTAGAAAGCTTCTATAATTGGCCTCATGCTGACTACAGAAACATGGGAGGTAATTATTCAAATAACAATGTGAATCCCCAGCAGGAAGCCACGGGAAATGTGCAAAAATCAACCATAATTTATGTGAAAACTGGCCATTTTCTAAATACCTTTCCATCTATTTACTGTCGAGTTTTTTTTATTTTACAAAAGGACACCAAAATGGAAATCATTTTCTGAATTTCCATGCTTTGTTTGTTTTAATATTTAATGTATTTTTACACTGGACACATGCAGTATGTACACGTTTGCATACAGACTCTCCACTCTGTAGTATCTAAAATGCAAAATATGCAAAAATATCCATAATTTTTGTAAAAACTGGCAATTTTCTTAATACCTTTCCAGGCTAAATGTAAAAATAAAAAGGGAAATGTATAACAATTTTAGGTCAAAAATTTCACTTTTATGTATTTTCATGTATTTTTACAGTATGAAATCATGCAATAAATGCACGTTTGCATTCAGATTAAAAGGCAAAATGTGTATAATTGGCTTCATGCTGACTGGAAAGACATGAAAGAAAATTAGACTAATTAAAGTATGAAGTCCGCAGCAGGGGGCCAGTCTCAATTTCTTTTCATCTTTCACGTTTGTTTCTTAGCCTTTTTTGACTCATTTTAACCAGAAACCCTTTTTTTTTATCATGAGGAAAAACAGCATTGTAAATCTGTGGCTGGAATCAAATCTCCCCGTCTCACAGCTGGAAATGAACACCTCTACCTCTTATCAGAAAACATTTCCATCAGCGGTGTGCAGGTGTCTGCCATGATGTCCTTTCTCTGCTAATGGACACATATCCTGCAGGACGAGTGTCACAGATGCTCACACGTCTGATCTCTATTGTTTCTCCGAGTGAAGAGCGTCTCCTTCATTAATCCAAACACTTCTGATTCTGCAGCTCTTCTTGTACAGCGCTGATGAAATGAAATGACGTTGCTGATGGTGTTGCAGGGATCCTGTCAGTCACTGATTGGTCATTTCACTCTGTGTGTGGCAGCTGATTTTGGTTTGTGTTGCATCGAGGAGCATGCACTAGCATACAGTTATTCTATCAGAGCATGTATCAAAAGTAGGTAAACAAATCTTCACTTTAAAGAAAAATAGGTAGAGTAACAATGTAAATACTGCAATTTAACACCAGGGCAAACAAAATCCCACACAGACAGAAGACAAACAGACATACAAAAACAGACAAACAAAGAATGAACAAATAAATAATTAGAAAACCAGTCAGCTAAAACAAAAATGTGTAGATTATACTTTTGAACCCTTTTTCAAGGTACAGTTGAGTAAAATAGAAGATGCACTATCCAAGATCTTGACTTGTGCAGGGCGGAAAATAATGATGAATGTGATTGTTGATTGTTTTCTTGATTCCTTCAGTATTCACTGTCAGGAAAATGGTGAAAAAATGACCCATAATTCATCGTGTTGATTTCACGGGCCTTCAAAAAAGATATTAACATTCTTCAGCGTTGTCTACTGTCGACTTTGATTTGAAAACCACATCATTTTGAACATTTTCTTATATTTACTGGCCTTATCAGGAGGGTTTCATGCCCAGGAAACGTTATATACTGTATATGCAGAAAATGACTATAATTTACAAAACAATGTGCAGTTATTTTCCATTTATGTCTAAAAAAGGTCACATATATTACAACTTAAGCTTCTTAAACGGTAATTTGACCATCTTTAAGGTGAAACAACTGCATTTACAGTCATATATTGATAATCTCCCTCCATATTTAGCTCTTAAGAGGAAACAATATGGGTTTTAAGGAGGCACTATTCAGTTTTTTGTTGGGTGTTTCCTTCCCTGTAGTGTGTTATGTAGGTTTTTACACCTGGACATCAGCAGGAGAGGACTCTTTAAAGTAGAGACACTACATACTGATATACACCTGAACATCAGCAGGAGAGGACTCTTTAAAGTAGAGACACTACATACTGATATACACCTGGACATCAGCAGGAGAGGACTCTTTAAAGTAGAGACACTACATACTGATATACACCTGGACATCAGCAGGAGAGGACTCTTTAAAGTAGAGACACTACATACTGATATACACCTGAACATCAGCAGGAGAGGACTCTTTAAAGTAGAGACACTACATACTGATATAGACCTGAACATCAGCAGGAGAGGACTCTTTAAAGTAGAGACACTACATACTGATATACACCTGAACATCAGCAGGAGAGGACTCTTTAAAGTAGAGACACTACATACTGATATACACCTGAACATCAGCAGGAGAGGACTCTTTAAAGTAGAGACACTACATACTGATATACACCTGAACATCAGCAGGAGAGGACTCTTTAAAGTAGAGACACTACATACTGATATACACCTGAAAATCAGCAGGAGAGGACTCTTTAAAGTAGAGACACTACATACTGATATACACCTGAACATCAGCAGGAGAGGACTCTTTAAAGTAGAGACACTACATACTGATATACACCTGAACATCAGCAGGAGAGGACTCTTTAAAGTAGAGACACTACATACTGATATACACCTGAAATGAGCAGAATAGCCTCTTTAAGATACAACTCATAAGATAATCAGGTTATTTTATAAATATCTTGGCTCTATCCAGGTCCCTCGTGGCCACAAGCTGCGATGAATATGATTTGCGAGGCTATTAATTTTCCGATCCATAAATCATGTTGACGCCTCAGATTAATAGAGTGCAGTCACCTGACCTGTTACCATTTTAAGTACAGCCTTTAGTCTTTTGATGATATTTTCTCTCACCCCCAATGAAGCAAAAGAAGATTTGACGATGATTAACATTATATCTAATATTTTTGGAACAATGTGAACAAATAATATAGTTTTTCTCTGTTTCGGTTATCTCCACTACTTTAGATAATTTTTGCTTTATTTTTTATCCCAACATAAAAAGCTTAACTGCGACTTTTGAAAACTAAAAATACTTGATTAACAAAAAATAATAATAATGCAAGAATACTAAATAAATAGTAATAAAGCTTTATTTGTTTAGCACTTTTCATAAAAAGAATGCAGCAGATCAAAGTCACAAGACAAGATAAACCAGAAACAAGAAATTCACTACAGGTCAAACTATTTAGGATGAATTTAATAAATGAACCCTCCTGTTGTCTTCGGGTCAAATCTGACCGATTTACTACTTTCATCAATCATAACCTTTTTGTTTTAGATTTGATTGCATTAAGGCTTTATGATATCCTTCACAGTAGACATTTGAACATATACAATTGCTGATCACCACTTTCATTGAATTTTGGATGATTTAGTCAACTTTGTAAGACCCATGGTGTTCCCGGTCAAAAATGACCACCATAAAGAAATGGAATTAGTAACCATCCGGATAAGATAAAACACCCACACACACGATCAGATAACACACACACACACACACACGCACACACACACACACACACACACACACACACACACACACACACACACACACACACACACGCACACGCACACGCGCACACGCACACGCACACACACACACACACACACACACACACACACACACACACACACACACACACACACACACACACACACACACACACATACTCTGGATGTGTGTGTCCCCCCTCATGTGCCCAATCCCCCCATGTGAATCACACCTGGCACTCACAAACACACACAGAACAATTTGACCAATTTCCCGCTCTTATGTGCCCCTCCCCCCACATGGATCACACCTGGCACACGCAATACATGTTCAGTGTCTATTCTTTGTATATGTACTGCAGTTGTTCATGTATACCAGTAGTCTGATACAATATTTACAGTTTGAAAGGGTGTTAAATGAAATTTGGTGATGATTAATGGTTTTTGTGTTAATGTAATAGCAGTTAAAACAGGACCGGTCAAATTAGACCGCGAACACCAAAGTAAGGGGGGGAAACCGAAGACAATAGGAGGGTTAATGTAACACCCAATTTTCTACTGTATTTTACTAGTTTCTATTTTTGCCATAAAGTGTGATGTCTCTGACCAAAAACGATGTCATTACATAACTCACAGGAGGGCTATGTTCCTGCTTTTCTGTCCTCCGCTCTCAACTCAGCTTGTTTTGTCGTACTGTATATATTAATATTAGTTGAACAAGATTGAAGATGATTCCTGTGGGGTTTTCCTGTGCATATCTTAGTTGATAAGAAATAAGCCCAATGACTTATTTACATAACAAGCTTGAAATACACCCTTCCTATTTCTCCTTATTATAATCAATCTGAAGCTTAGGCAATATACCTCTAGTGAGTGGCCCAGCCCTTCGTATATTTTTCTGTATGTGGCCCTCTGTGAAAACAGTTTGGACACCCCTGCACTAATGGGAGCAGGGGGGATTCTTATAGTTTCTAATGAACAGGTTTATGTGAGTCTGACCTCTTCTCCTCTTCTCCTCTCCCTCATGTTTCCCAGCTGAATTCTCCGGGGCTGCTGAGTATGCCCCGGAGCCCCACCTCCAGCGAGGATGAAATGGCTCAGAGCTGTTCAGACTACTCCGACGACTGCGCCTCCGACAGCTCCCGAGAAGAAACCATCTACGAGACGATAAAGGCCACGGCCGAGCAATCTCAGAGCCGCATGGAGGACATCAGCACCAACTCGCTGGTCGTCCGCATCCTCATCCCCGACCTGCAGCAGTCGGTGAGAAACACAGACACGTGAGGGGGTCATTGGTCTAGAAATGTGAACCGGGAAATGTTGAGTAATAATAATAATAATGTCAGAAGGATGTGTAACATTTGAAAGTTGGAAAGAGGTTTCTGAGTGAAAGTATGAAGGAAACAACTGGATAATAACTTGCATATGTTGGGCAATTTTCACCATTAGCATTAACCTTAATTAGTATTAAATAGCATTTTAGCCTATAGAGACAATAGTTAAAAAATGGCTTGGCTGATTTGGATATTTCTGGAGTGGTTTTTAGGATTATTGAGGATGTTAAATCCATCTCTAACATTTCCATGATCCAACATGGCAGTTTTTGAATGTCATTTAGCGATCTGATTAGATTCATTGGATTGGATTAGATAGATACTGTATAAATCCCACGTAGGACACTTTTTTTGTTACAGCAGCATGAGAAAAAGACATTCACATGAAATTAAACTACCATTAAATATGTAAATAACAATTGAAAGATATGTAGCATGTAAAACATGTTCAGGGTTATTGAGGCGAGAAAACAAATAGTTAAATCCGGTAAAAAAGAAACTATGGAGACAGGAGTTATCTGCAAAGGTTACATGTCGTACAGGGTTATTGCTTTGGCAGGAAATATTTCCTGTGTTGTTCTTCGTTGGAGAATGACTTGAGATTCTGATGCTTTAACCCCAGTAACTTACATACACCTCCATCCAGTAGACATCCATACACGAGCAATTTGGGGTCAAATATCTTGTCCAAGGAAAAATCAAATCAATTTTGATTGCCCAATATCACAAATTACACAATTGTCTCAGGGAGCTCCCTCTCTCCTTAGAAACCTCTTTTTAACAAGGACAACTCACCAGAAAAAACACAATAAACCGGAACATTTTCGAAACCTCGGAGAAAGACAGACATGCAATAAATATTGACTGTATAGGTATTAGATGATAAAATTACATAATGGACAACACAACTGGCAATGAAGTGCGGATCAAACTGAGTCCCATTTCCCATTTCCCCCGTCTTCATCACCGTGCCTACGTCAACCACCTCCCATCCCTTCAAGAAAGCATCTGCAGTCTCCGAAGCCTGATAAGGATGTGTGTGTACAAAACGCAACAAACTTTTACTGATATGTGCTGGGTCCAGGCTCAAGGGCATATGGCACTCTCAACTCTTTCCAGCACATGCCGGGGCCCTGCCTGCCAGTAGCTTTGCCGATATCTGTGTTGATAGGTAATAGATTAAGAGCGGTAAATCAGCTTAGAAACAGGAAGTGCTCAAACGTTTGTGTGAGGTTATCACATTTAGCAGTGATTCCATGTCAGCCACAGCTTGTCACAACATTTTTTACTGATAGTGTATTTAACAAACTTAAACTAGCTTTATTAAATGTCAGGTCTTTGGCAGGAAAAACATTTTTAATCAATGATTTTATCACTGAGCACAATCTCGATTTTATGTTTTTAACGGAAACTTGGATTGAACAAAATAACAGTGCAGCTGTTCTTATCGAATCAACCCCTCCCAACTTTAGTTTTATGAGTCAGGAAAGAATGCATAAGAAAGGGGGTGGAGTTGCTATTTTGTTCAATGATTCCATTCAATGCAGGAAGACATCTTATGGGGACTTTGCTTCTTTTGAATATGTGGCCCTTCAGCTGAAATGCTCCTCTCGAGCTCTGTTCCTAAATATCTATAGACCACCCAAATACTGTGCAAGCTTTTTTGATGATTTTACTGAACTGCTGTCTATAGTGTGTATTGACTTTGACCGTCTAGTCATTGTTGGTGATTTTAACATCCATGTTGACAACCCCCAGGACAGAGGGGCTAAAGAACTGTTTTGTGTTCTTGATAACTATGGACTGACTCAGCATGTGGCGGAGCCCACGTACAATAAGGGGCACACTCTGGACTTAATTATCTCAAAGGGTCTGAATATCTCAAAGGTTGTGGTGACTGATGTTGCACTCTCTGATCATTCCTGTGTTTTCTTTGAGAGCTCTATTTCTGTTCACAAAATGTTCAGAAAGAGGTAACCACAAAGCGATATTTAACTGAAAATACTAGGGAAATGTTTACTCATAATTTTTCATCCACACTCTCCCCTGCTAACATCTCAGTAAATGAGCTAGTAGATCATTTTAATTCAAAAATTAAAAATGTTATAGATACCATTACTCCAACTAAGGTAAAGGAAGTGATTGGCAAGAAAATATCTCCATGGAGAAAGGCCATGACCGTGAGAACAGAAAAAAGAGAGTGTCGAAAAGCTGAACGTAGGTGGCGAAAAACAAATCTCCAGGTTCACTTTGAAATCTATAAAGAGAGACTTGGCCTTTATAATTTGGAATTGAAAAACGCACGACAGTCTTTCTTCTCTGACATCATTACCAAAAACAAAAACAACGCACGTGCCTTGTTTGCTACCGTCGACAGACTAACCAACCCCCCAGTGTCAGTAGCCTCTGAATTTCTATCCACCAGGGCATGCAATGATTTTGCCTCCTTCTTCACTGACAAAATTCAGAAAATTAGACAAGCAGTCAGTGCCTCTGCATCAGGTACAGCAAATGTTTTGTCCCTATGTCCACCTAATATCAATTCAAACACCATGACACAATTCCATCAGATTAATGATAAAAACGTAGAGGACATTATTCAACTTCTGAAATCCTCCTCCTGCTGCCTTGATATTATTCCAACAGGATTTTTCAAAGATGTTTTTCCTTGGATGGCCTCAGATCTACTTCATATAGTAAACACATCTCTTCACTCAGGTATTTTTCCAGAGGCCCTGAAAACTGCAGTCATTACACCGCTCTTAAAAAAGAATAATCTAGATGCTTCAGTAATGAACAATTACAGGCCAATATCAAACCTGCCATTTCTAGGTAAAATCATTGAAAAAGTTGTATTTCAATAGTTGAGTAACTTCTTGCATTTAAATAACTGTTTGGATGTGTTCCAGTCAGGATTTCATCCAAACCACAGCACTGAGACTGCTCTTGTAAAGGTCTTCAATGACATCCACTTAAACACAGACAGTGGCAGAACTTCAGTGTTAGTATTATTAGATCTCAGTGCTGCGTTTGATACTGTTGACCACAACATATTACTAGACCGACTAGAAAACTGGGTGGGACTTTCGGCAACAGTTCTAAATTGGTTTGAGTCCTACTTAAAGGACAGAAAAAACTTTGTTTCTATAGGTAAATACACATCTGAGTTGACAAATATGACATGTGGGGTACCTCAAAGCTCCATCTTGGGGCCTCTTCTCTTTAACATCTACATGCTACCACTGGCTCAGATAATGAAAAACAACAAAATAAGTTACCATAGCTATGCGGATGACACACAAATGTACGTAACAATTTCACCAGGAGATTATGCTCCAATTCAAACACTGAGTAAGTGCATTGAACAAATCAATGACTGGATGTGTCAGAACTTTCTCCAATTAAACAAAGATAAAACTGAGGTAATGGTTTTTGGAGCCAAGGCAGAACGTATAAAAGTTAGCGCTGAGCTTCAGTCTGCAATGTTCAAAACAACAGATAAAGCCAGAAATCTAGGTGTAGTCATGGACTCTGACCTGAGTTTCAACAGTCACATTAAAACAGTTACTAAATCAGCCTACTATCACCTAAAGAACATATCTAGGATTAAAGGACTAATGTCACAGCAGGATTTGGAAAAACTTGTCCATGCTTTTATCTTCAGTAGACTGGACTACTGTAATGGTGTCTTTACAGGTCTCACTAAAAAATCTATTAGAAAGCTGCAGCTAATTCAGAACGCTGCTGCTCGAGTCCTCACTGACACTAAGAAAGTGGATCACATCACTCCTGTTCTGAAGTCCTTACACTGGCTTCCTGTGTGTCAAAGAATAGATTTCAAAATACTGCTGCTGGTTTATAAAGCTTTGAATGGTTTAGGCCCAAAATACATGTCTGACCTCCTGCTAAATTATGAACCATCCAGAACTCTCAGGTCTTCAGGGACTGGTCAGCTTTCTGTCCCCAGAGTCAGAACTAAACATGGAGAAGCAGCGTTCAGTTATTATGCTCCAAATATCTGGAACAAACTCCCAGAAACCTGCAGGTCCGCTGCAACTCTTACTACATTTAAATCCAGGCTGAAGACTTTTCTTTTTGCCGCTGCTTTTAATTGAACTATTCACATCTTAAACTGCACTGTAACTTTTAACTTTTATCCATGTATTTTTTCTTTTAATGTTTCTTTTATTATCTTTTCTTTTTAATGACTGATTTTAAATGCCATTTTTAAAATGTCTTCCATTTTTGTAAAGCACTTTGAATTGCCTTGTGTTGAAAGGTGCTATATAAATAAACTTGCCTTGCCTTGCCTTGCCTTGTGAGCCACAGCCAGCGGAAGAGTCTCAATTAGAATTTCATTTTTGTTCTCCAACTTGACATCTGAGTATTGAATTCCCAAGCTTCTTCTGGAGGATTAATCATGGTGTATTTGACATCCTATTTATTCTAAGCTAGTATACAATACACTCGAGCACAACACGGTGTAGTGTTTATCAGAGTTGGAGTAGTGTTGGAGAGGCACTGTGTCCTCTGGAGCATTTCAGAGGTGATATAACCTGTTTCAGTATGCATTAAAAACACATGTGTGTTTTAGAAAATGAAGGAAAAGTGGAATGTGAGTGTAAACAGAGGATTTTCAAGATGTGAAAGGGCTTTCCAGTAAATCACTCTCAGCTCACTGCACCTATAACAAGCTTGCAAGTATACAAGCTATTGCATGTACACACTTAAGGTCAACCACCCACATTTTCATTCTTTCTCAAAAAACCCTCAGAGACATGTTGTCCTGAGGCCTTCTCATTGAATATAACACATTCGATCAGATTAGATATACTGTATTGATCCCAACTGGTTTTGTTACAGCAGCATGTTTAACGAGGCATTGAGTTAAACATATAATACACCATAAGCAGTAAATATATCAACAGT